CCCCCACCCCGCCGCGCACCTGCTGTCACGTCGACAACGTATCAAGCGCAACACATCTTTCACACACTTGGACACAAGCACTCTTACCTGACAGCAATGAGCGTCCGAACAGGAAGTCGGCCGAGGCCTTGACAGAATTTGTCTGGAGCAAACATTTCCAAGTCGACACCCCGTCGAGTTGAAACGGGCCGCTTCAAGCTCGCGGGAACTGCTTCAAGCGGCATGTGTTGTGAAAGCGCCGTATCACTAAAGATCGATTGCATTGGATCAAACGAAACAAAGAAAACAAATCAAAAACGGTGAAGGGCAAAGCATTGGCCTTTTCTCAAGTGGCCTTCTATCAGCCACGATCTAATTCATAAAAGCGGGCCGACAAGCCGTTTTTCCATTTGTGTCCCGTGCAAGATTTTATTTTGCTTTTAGAAATCAAATTGTGCGTTCCCAAAACTGTTGTTCAACTTTTCCTGACTCGTTCCAAGCAACGCAGCAGAAAATCAAGCTGTATTTCAACGTTGCAGTTCCTCGATCCAAACCGAAAACAAAGACCGCGTCATTTTCCCTATTTTGAAGCTCCGTTTCCAAACATGGTATCCGATTGCACCGTCAACATGACCTTAGCGCCCCCCCCCCCCACACACAAAAAACATTCAAGTCAGGTTATTTGGAATGTTGCGGATGCGACGTAGTTGGCCTGCGCAGGTGCAAGTGCGACATCTTTCGGTGCCTCCTCGGTCGGTGCGGTTTGAGGTCTCCCCCAAATGGGCCGGCAGAAGCTCGAACCAAGAATGCGGGGGTCGGCGGGGTTGGGGAATCCACTGTGAAAACTCCTATGAACGCCACGCCTCTTCGGCAGGTTCAACCCGTTTGGATCACGAAGAGGAAGCAGAGGGGTCAGGCTTCGCCTCGCTTTTATTTTGAAAACGCTAGCTTTTATTTGGAAAGGAAAAAGTAGCAACTATGGGATCGGACGGCTCCTTTTCCGTGGTAGGCGTCGCGTAGACGTCGAGCAAAGTTTATCTGTCGGCTCTCACTCGTCCACAGCGAAAGCGGTGAGATGAATTGTCGGGCGGACATGTTAGCAAAGGACATGTTGGATCTGGAAGAAGACGAAGACCTGGAGGTGTTCAGTAAGGTACCGTCAAACTTCCCGACTCCCGCTCTCGCGACGCGGACGTCGCCCCGCTCGAAACACTCTCGAGTGACGATTTTGCTGAAGACTGCCTTTTTTTTTTTCCTCGTCGTAACTTTCGGCAATGCTCGCTTCTTGCGGAGGGACGACAAACGTTGGGAATCGGCAGACGAGCCGACCTTCGCGCTTCGATCGGCTTTTGCTCTTCACGTCCATTTCGGAGTTACTGCGCCCAGTGATTTGGAGACGGGTCGTTTTGTTCGCGTCGGAAGCCTTCGAGCTGCTCTTTTCTTACGCCACGCGAGGCGGTCCGTCAAACCGTTCTCCCGAGCCGAAGTGGCCTCCGAGTTTTCCCCTTCAACGCGGGCCGGACGCCGCACCCGCCGTTGGCCTCGTTCAGTGCGCGAGAAGAGGCCGCGGTTGTGGCGCTTCACCGCGACGAAGCGCGAGCTCGCCGTGCCCCGAGCAGCCGCCGCATGAATTCGTTGCTCGTGTGTTCATGGGGAAAAAAAAAAACAAATAGTGTCCGCCTTGTCTTGGGTTCAGAAATTATTACTGACAGACGAGGATCCCGTGGCCAACTCTCCCAGCTCGATGCTCAACCAGTACCAACTGGATGAAGATGAACAGCAGACCGGCGGCGCCAAAGACTTGCTTGTGACGGTCGACAGTCCAGAGAGTCGCGTCACAGCTATTGAGACCTTCATCGTGTACAGAGTGGTGACCAAGGTAAGCTGGCAGGCGCGCACACGCTCGCAAATCATTCCGCCGCGTGCCTCTGCAAACGCACTCAGCCGCCGCGGTCCTGTGGGCGGGAGGCGCTTATGGAAAGGCGCTGACGTGACCTGCTGGAAGTTGAGAGCGGTTTGTGCTTCCTCTTTCCAGACGGCGAGGAGTGAGTTTGACTCGTGCGAGTACGAGGTGCTCCGTCGCTACCAGGACTTCCTTTGGCTACGAAGCCGACTGGAAGAAAGCCACCCGAGCCTCATCGTCCCCGTACGTGTAAACGCGGCGCGCGGCGACTTTGCCGCGGGCTGGCCTATAGCTTACGCCGGACGTGCGCTGATGGCTTCTGACTTGGCAAACCCGAATTAAAAAAAAAAGAAGCATCGTCGGTGCAATTTGAGCGTGGCGGGTGAAAAGGATGCTGGTCTTTCAGCCTCTTCCGGAGAAGTTTGTGATGAAAGGCATGGTGGAGCGCTTCACCGACGACTTCATCGACACCAGGAAGAAAGCCCTGCACCGCTTTCTCAATAAGATCGCCGAGCATCCCACCCTGTCGTCCAGTCGCCACTTTCGACTCTTCCTGACTGCTCAGGTAGGACACACGTCGGCGCAGACCAATCCTCAATAAAATCAAATAACAACGACAAATTGTCCACGTGGCAAATAGGGACGTCCCGATCCGATGGCGTGATTTTCAGCCCGTGGGTTTCCCCTCATTTCCGCCCAGACTCTCTCATGTCACCAAATGGTCCAAAGCCATCAAGAGCTTGTCAAAGGGAAGCGCAAGAGCTTCATTTGATAGGACACAATCTTAGCTTTTCTTCTTTTGGGGGTGACGGTGAGAGCCACGCCCAGCGCTCTCCCGGACGCCGCACTCTAGCGCACGTTGTATTCGGAGCAACGACAAGACCCCAGCGCTGTCGTTGGGACAGTGCTCTCTTCCCCCCGCCCCTGTCTGACTGGAAACGATGCGGACATTGTATCGGTCTGTCGTGGTGAAAAAGGAGGCGGAGCCAAAGGGCAAAGCTCTCGATTTAGCGGTCGCCCGACACTCCCGCCCTCATCTCGCGGCTGCGGCTCATGGCCGGAAAAGATCCAAGCGGCCGGAACGGCTTTCC